TATATAAACAAAATAACATGGATTCTATTATGCAAAGTTGTGTGATACTGGGGGAAAAAAAATATATATATTTATTGTGATTTTCTCGATAATGATAATATTTTGCTGAGAGTGTTTTTGTGATTGTACCTTGGCTGGTAAAAATATAGCACTAAAACTGCCAGTAGGTGGCAGTAAGTCCTGTCTTAATGAGTGATTCATTGAATCATTCATTCAAACAATTCATTCAAGACAGCTAATTCATTTAGAAACGAAGCAAGTGATTGACTTTATGAATGGATCAATGAATCATTGACTCAAATTATTTATTCAAAAGCAGATTAATTCAGGTACGAAACACAGCAGTGTTGCCCTGAGACGCACAAATGTTCTGCTCCAGCTTTGTTTGGAACTATTTTAATTGACGACAAACCGAAAATGTGTCTAAAATGTAACTCACTCAATATTAACTTCTTGTTTATTGAACTGCTGTATAAAATTATTAGCACATTTGCGATCACGCTAATATTTAGGAAAATAGGGCAGAGGTCTTCAACCCTGCTCCTGGGGATCAACTGTCCTGCAGAGTTTAGTTCCAACACTAATTAATCACCTGAAGCAGCTAATCAAGCTCTTCCGGATCACTTGAAACATCACAGGCCAGGTGAGCTGAAACAGGTTGGAAACTTTGCAGGACAGTGGGTCCCCAGGATTATATTTTAGACTTGTAATGCGTTGCCCAAGCATTCTGATAGCCAATCAAATGAAGAGTGACACTATGCGATGGACTTTATGGAACGATATTCCGGACTATTTTCAAAAGGAATTGCAAATTGTATCTTCAATTGCGTTTTCCATATGTGGACGCATAAATTGTGACATAATCCAAATGCAATTGCAAATCCTGCATTACCGTTTGCATTTTCACTTTCGCGAACGCACAGTGACTGCCAAATTTCAAATGAAAAGTCCATTTGCAACTGTATTTCCCTGGAGGTAATCGGTAAAGGCTCCGCTAAAGGCAGCTACCAATAAGTGTTGTACCTGTGTGAACGAACACACAGTGCAACCTTCTTGGCACAATACGTATAATTCTGTCTTTTTTACCCCAAATGTAGCGATTATCCCCTGCTAACAGCAGGAGCCACAACGGTACGCACAATAGGTCAATATTCACTATTAACCTCAAAATCTCTCACTATTTACACTCACTTACACTTTGAATCCGTAATAAGAGAGCGTGTCACACCTGCCTCAAGACCTTTTACCATTTACTATTGTGCGTACCGTTGTGGCTCCCACTGTTAGCAGGGGATAATCACTACATTTGGGGTAAAAAAGACAGAATTATACGTATTGTGCCAAGAAGGTTGCACTGTGTTCGTTCACACAGGTACAAAGCTTATTGGTAGCTGCCTTTAGCGGAGCCTTTACCGATTACCTCCATTGATCAGAGCATTCGGCACGGTAGTTTTAATCCGTTATGGAGTTCGCGTCCCGTACGTGGCACCAAAGTGTTGCGCCTGCCTCAAGATCTCTCACTATTTACAGCACGTGGTAATTAATATTGCTATTTAAATATGACAGGCTCATAACTCCGAAGACATGGGAAATACAGTTGCAAATGGACTTTTGGACTCATTTGAAATTTGGCAGTCACTGTGCGTTTGCGAAAGCGAAAATGCAAACGGTAATGCAGGATTTGCAATTGCATTTGGATTATGTCCCAATTTATGCGTCCACATATGGAAAACGCAATTGAAAATACAATTTGCAATTCCTTTTGAAAATAGTCCGGAATATCGTTCCATAGGACTTCTCTGGGAGTTTTGAAATTAAGTAACAGAACCATAAAACAGCATCTTACCCAGATCAGTATTAGGTCCCGCCAGAACCTGCCTGAACTTGTCTAGTCTTGACGCCTCTCTCTGGGTCATGGCAGGAGTCCCGGATGTGTTCTGATCTGCCATGCGGGCCACCAGTGGAATCACAGGCCTGTGCGGGAGTGACTGCTGTCTGTGTAGTACTGCCTGTTCAATGCCCACTTCTGACAGAAGAGAAAACACAGCTTTAATGAGCATATACAAACTGCTGTCTGCTCTCTCACACCACTCGGCCCATTAAATGTAATTATGGAGGCAATGCATGACACATAGCATATCAGGACATGAGTTTGCCCACAGGTCTGAAGAGGCAGTTACCCCAAGATGCTCAGCTAGTGGTAATGAAACACTTCTCTGTCAAACTAAATCCATTACAGAGCTCGGCCAGATGAACCTCATTCAGAGTGCCATAATCATTAGGGGTAATCTTTGGACACCACACGATTCAATTCATTTAGATTCTATTTTAATTTCAATTCAGGGTGTCATGATGAGATTCCATCCATCCATCCATCTATCCAGTAGGTAAGCTCTAGATTCTAGAGTAAGTAAGCTCACTTCAGTCCCTTTGGTTGGATTTCAAGGAAGTTTTGCCGAGAAGCATGTGTATGCAGAGTACCTATTGTAATTAATACTGAATAAATATTAAAAAAAAAAAAAATTTTTCACCAATGAGAATGTCAATCATCTTTCTCACTGACTGTAAGGCATTGTTTCTCAACCACCTTGATTTTTATTAGTTTTATTGTATTTATTATCATTTTAGCAATGTATATTATACAATTTATTTTAGCCTTCATTAGTACTTATTTTATATATCTAGTGATTTTAATTTCAGTTTGTTTCAGCAATGTTATTTTCAGCTTTTGTCATTTTTATTATATTTAATTTGATTCAAACCATCAAAACCGTTTTCTTCAAAAACAAATCATGATCAGTTATTTTTGTATTTTTTTTTTTTTTACTTAATTTTACTTATATTTAAAACATTAAATCAGTTGTTGAGTTCATATAATTGTATTTTATTTCTGTAATTGTATTTATTAATTATTTTCTTTATTTTATGTATGCATGTATGTATGTAAAAGTTGAAGTCTTGATTAGGCTTTAAAACCTAAGCAGAAAAAAAAAAAAACACTTGCTGGTTCGGCTGATATTTTCTTAGCACTGTTGCCCGTTTTTTGTTTATTTTTTTCCCCAAAAAAAATTACAAAAAAAACTTGCAAGTATGTAACACATCTGGAGAGATACAAGGTGTGATGCGTAATTTCGGAGGTTTGTGTTAAGAGTAAATGTGTCAATAACACTATAAAATACCTTTTAAGTGATGTGTAAAGATGCCTTAGAAAAGTCTTTCTGTGTATATTCATATAAAATAGGTATATAAAAAAAAAATCATATAAGTAGGTTTAATGGGCACATGGGTACATTCTATGGTATAAATGTTTTCACAAAGAATCACAATGCATGCGTGAATTGATTTTGGCCCAATGTTTAATCATGCTGTCCAAACACTGAGCGTCACTGTAAAATGTGATTGTATGCTTGTTAGAGGCATTACATCTCGGTGACTTTGAGAGATCATTCTCGCATTGAGCATCATAACATTTAATGACGTCTGTGTAATCCCTGCAGAAATTAGACAGTGCGTGACGGCTGTTGACAGTGTCAACACAAGGTGCTATTAGAGTAGATGTGGAACACATCGACAGGAAGTCCATTATCACAGTCATCCATTGCCACTGAGGCTGGCAAAACAAATGGCTGACAGAACTGCCTGTCAGGGCAGGTACATTGGTGGTAGAAGACAGTCCTCATGTTACACACTCAAATACTCACAGGGAAATTTGTTTCATTCTTCGCTCAGTGGTTTAAAAGTATTTTGAAATACCTGAGCAGCGGTATACTAATTGCAAACATTCCAATGCCATCACACAGCTCTCCTGTGTGTTCATGTTATTAGTCGTGTCTCACCTCAATGGACTGAGTAGCTAGTGGTAATGAAACACTTCTCTGTCAAACTAAATCCATTACAGAGCTCGGCCAGATGAACCTCATTCAGAGTGCCATAATCATTAGGGGTAATCTTTGGACACCACACGATTCAATTCATTTAGATTCTATTTTAATTTCAATTCAGGGTGTCATGATGAGATTCCATCCATCCATCCATCTATCCAGTAGGTAAGCTCTAGATTCTAGAGTAAGTAAGCTCACTTCAGTCCCTTTGGTTGGATTTCAAGGAAGTTTTGCCGAGAAGCATGTGTATGCAGAGTACCTATTGTAATTAATACTGAATAAATATTTAAAAAAAAAACAATTTTTCACCAATGAGAATGTCAATCATCTTTCTCACTGACTGTAAGGCATTGTTTCTCAACCACCTTGATTTTTATTAGTTTTATTGTATTTATTATCATTTTAGCAATGTATATTATACAATTTATTTTAGCCTTCATTAGTACTTATTTTATATATCTAGTGATTTTAATTTCAGTTTGTTTCAGCAATGTTATTTTCAGCTTTTGTCATTTTTATTATATTTAATTTGATTCAAACCATCAAAACTGTTTTCTTCAAAAACAAATCATGATCAGTTATTTTTGTATTTTTTTTTTTTTTACTTAATTTTACTTATATTTAAAACATTAAATCAGTTGTTGAGTTCATATAATTGTATTTTATTTCTGTAATTGTATTTATTAATTATTTTCTTTATTTTATGTATGCATGTATGTATGTAAAAGTTGAAGTCTTGATTAGGCTTTAAAACCTAAGCAGAAAAAAAAAAAAACACTTGCTGGTTCGGCTGATATTTTCTTAGCACTGTTGCCCGTTTTTTGTTTATTTTTTTCCCCAAAAAAAATTACAAAAAAAACTTGCAAGTATGTAACACATCTGGAGAGATACAAGGTGTGATGCGTAATTTCGGAGGTTTGTGTTAAGAGTAAATGTGTCAATAACACTATAAAATACCTTTTAAGTGATGTGTAAAGATGCCTTAGAAAAGTCTTTCTGTGTATATTCATATAAAATAGGTATATAAAAAAAAAATCATATAAGTAGGTTTAATGGGCACATGGGTACATTCTATGGTATAAATGTTTTCACAAAGAATCACAATGCATGCGTGAATTGATTTTGGCCCAATGTTTAATCATGCTGTCCAAACACTGAGCGTCACTGTAAAATGTGATTGTATGCTTGTTAGAGGCATTACATCTCGGTGACTTTGAGAGATCATTCTCGCATTGAGCATCATAACATTTAATGACGTCTGTGTAATCCCTGCAGAAATTAGACAGTGCGTGACGGCTGTTGACAGTGTCAACACAAGGTGCTATTAGAGTAGATGTGGAACACATCGACAGGAAGTCCATTATCACAGTCATCCATTTCCACTGAGGCTGGCAAAACAAATGGCTGACAGAACTGCCTATCAGGGCAGGTACATTGGTGGTAGAAGACAGTCCTCATGTTACACACTCAAATACTGTTTCATTCTTCGCTCAGTGGTTTAAAAGTATTTTGAAATACCTGAGCAGCGGTATACTAATTGCAAACATTCCAATGCCATCACACAGCTCTCCTGTGTGTTCATGTTATTAGTCGTGTCTCACCTCAATGGACTGAGTTGAGAAATATACCTGAAAAGATTTCCATGTCAAAAAAGGTGAAGCCTCAGAGCACAGCCACCTATTACATATTTGCTACGGACCAATGGCAGTTTGAAGTTTTCTAGAAAGTTTGCACTAGTGAGCCGTTTCAAACTACCCAAACAAACCACAAACGAATTTCGGTATGGTTAGATTTTTTGATTGCAATGGCTTCATACCCATCCGTTCCTCGATTTGAATGCTATTTGGGCCTTCGGTCACTGCAGTAGTATGAAGAACTGGGATTCTAATATTATTGAAATAAACATGCTTTCATTTGATTTGCTATGATTCAAAAGTATCAGAGTGAAAGTTTGAGTGGCAGGTCTGTGGAAAAAAATGCATGCTATATTAGCATATTAAAGCTCATTGGCAAACTGGCAATTGATTGACATTTCACTGAGAACAATTTGCCTGGGCCACACAGGTTTACAATGTTACAGCCTCCCAGTTAATGAAACTATTTAATGAAAGTCGTGCTAATTAGCTAGGAAGAGAACAAGGAGTAAAGGAAAGGCTAGAGTTTAGAAGAAAGTCAAAGGTCTGTTCCCAAATCCAAACTCTCATTTAAGCCTTGAGCAAAATTAGTTCATCTTTCCTAGATGCCATCTAGATGCCAACCAATATAGTCATACAAAATTGGCAAAATAATAATCTCAACCAAATTTTTTTATTTATTTATTTCATTTATTTATTTATTTATTTTTTGGTTTTAGTTTGCTTTTGTAGTCTGTGCAAAATATTGCCAGGCATCTTGTGGGTGATTGTCAGGCGTGATACAAAGTTACTAAATTGTTTTGGGTGGGTTTTTTGTTGTTTAGTTTTTTCCCCTTTCGAACTCCTAAAAGGGCATTTGTTCGATCTTCACCAAATTGTGCACACAGCAGCTATGTAGAGTGCTCGGAAAAAAACTTATGAAAAGAATTTTGATTTGTCACAGTGTTACGAAGACATTAGATAATTAATTTAAGCGTTGTCCATTGACCAATATCTGCTGAACAAAATGCCCAAATTTAAATAAACTTGTATGTGTACTCACTTTATGAAAATCAGCCACAAACTGGCATTGCAATAAGCAACTTTACATTTTTGCTAATAACTCGGTTTTTGTTTCTTCTGAATCCTGTTTCTTCTGAAGCCATTCTGAGCAAACATGCTTAGTTTCAAGAATTTATGATGCTTAGGGGGCTAACAGCAAATTATAAATTATTAGCCATTGCTAGGGTTGTGACGGTGAGGAAATTTTCCCACCGGTTAATCGACGTGTGACAATACCGGTATCACCGTGGGGGCGGGGCGGGGGCGTTCCCTCTTTTCCTCGCTTTCCTTCGCTTTTAAATAGCTTGTAAAAGCGGCGTGCGCATTTTACTTTCACTTTGAAATAGCGGCAATTCGGCGTAAAGCAATTGTTCGTTTGAATTTTCCCTCTTTTCCTTGCTTTCCGTCGCTTTTAAATAGCTTAAAAGTGCCGTGCGCATTTTACTTTCACTTTCGAATTAGCGGCAATT